CTTGAAGTTAGCTCACAGTTATATGCCTTTATAATCACTTTTAGATTTCATGTTCATGTCTAGTTACAGTTTTATTATTCACAAGCTATAAATATAAATTATATATTCATATGTTTAAATTATATTCTCCTTGATTACTTATATTGGTTACGGTCAAGTAGAAACATGACTGATGACTTGAAATTCTGCCACAAAATGGTATTCCTCTCATGACCAGTTATGATTTTATTGAACAGAAATTCTTAATTGCTTTCTAACTACTTGGGATAAAAATGTGTTACTAATGGTTATAGGGGAGAGGTTATTTGAATATGAAATACTTTCTTCTTTTTCATATTTGGAAGCAGCATTGTCCCAACTTAATAGAAGGCTTCTTTGTTCTTCTTAAGTACTGACAACTCTTAAGAACCAGCTTGTAATTGTTATAGGGGAGGACAAATAATTTTCCCTCTACCATTCTTAGTTCTTAGCTGAGACCGCTGTAATAAAAGATAGATTACAAGAAAAAAACAAATAGAAGTTTATTAACCTATGTACCTTGTATACAAATGGAAGATACTCAGGGAAAATCGAGGAACTCAGAGAGGTGGCTTTAGAATTCGTGATTAAATACCACTCAATTCAGGAAAAGCAGAGGAGGGATGCAGGCCTCTCAGGGGAGAATAGACGATTTTTAGGAGAGTTGAATAGGCCCTTAGAAGAATAGATAGGAAAGATGATAACCTCCTGTGGGAAAGTTTGTCTGGGTGCAATGTCTGCTTCTAGTCTCCTTTCCTGTGATAAGAGCCAGTCCTCCCTGATTGATGAAACTCCCAGGGAGGGGATTTATGACAGTTGAGTTCCTTTTGGGAGGATCTGTCTTTAGGCAAAGAGTGGAGCTCAGAAAAAGCCTCTCCCTGCATTTGCTCGTTTTCAAGTGCCTACAGCTCAAAATAATTAATATGTCATTAATTATGGTGGCATGTCCTGAACTCCTACAGTCGTATTTGGGGGTAGCATATTGTGCTACCCTTCATTTCCAACTCTGTTTTTGCATTCTTGGTGTACAGTATTTACTTCATCTGGTCGTTTATCTCTCAATTATTTGCCTATGTAGGATAGCATCGTAGTGATGAATAGATAGGAAATTATAGCCGAGATAGTGCATTGTATCATCTACAGAGCATCTTTGAGTACTTACATATTCTCCCCCAGCAGGCAAGGCCTTCATTTCCCCTCAATCCTACTTTGAGGTAGAGAGAAAAATAAAGTCTAGGCCCATGGTTAGTATATATTTTGTTTTTGTTGAGTTAGTATTGCATTTTGTGGATGTAGCACAGTTTGTTTATCCATTTATCAGTTAATGGTTTGTTTCCAGTTTTGGGTGATTAAACATTTGCCTTCAGGTTTTTGTAGACATACGTTTTCACTTCTTTTGATTAGATACCAAATTCAATTCCCCATTTAATCAGCTTTGCCCCTTCGGAAGTTAGTTGACCAAATGAAATAAGTCAGAGAAAGAAAAATACTGTATGATGTCACTTGTATGTGGCATCTAAAAATGCCAAACTCATAGAAACAGAAACTAGAATGGTGGTTACCAGAGGGTAGGGGGTAGGGAAATGGGGAGATGTTGGTCAGAGGATACAAACTTCCAATTTGCTATAAATTATAATAAAAATAAAATTTCATCAGTCATTTCTTTTCTGTATATCTTTAGTAGTACAGCATTGTTTATATAGTATGCAAAATCATAAAGGTACAGTAGCTGCCTTGCTATTTGAGATGTTACAAATATGATTTTAATAACTCTTGCTAGGTAATTCACATTGTGTTCTATAGCTTCATTTAGTATAGCATGCCCTATGGCCTCATTACAAAAGCCTTAAAAGGTAACATGTTTCCATAATTGTCATTTTCAGTGGTAGGCAGACATAAACAGGTTTTTAAAATTACGTGTAACTCCACCTGGAGCATCAGGTTGTGTGTCAGGATTCATTCTTTTTAAACTACTTCTATGAGTCAGGATTAAAGTTTCGTAGGAAGACTGCCATGCTGCTGATTTGGTAATTGTTTATTGCATCTTAATTACAGAGAAAGGCTTCCTTTCCTTTCTTCCCGTTTGCTCAATTTTATGGGTCAATTTTTGTTTTCGAAAGGGTTTAGGTTAAGGGAGCTACAAATCAGAAGAATAAAGTTTCATGTTTTCTTTTACGTATATTCACTGGATGTATCTGGCAAGTACTTCAGCATTCCATCATGTCGGTGACTCAGGTGCTATAAACCAAGTAGTACAGTTGTTTGCTTTTGTCTTGCAGATCTACTTTTTTCTTCTCTTTATTCCCTCTTTCTTGATGCCAGGAAGTTTTATAAAACAAGAAAAGGCTTTTCCTTAAGTTGTCAGCCATGGGAAAAAATTTAGCAGATGACTGGTGCAAGAATAGAATAGTTAATGTCTTCTTGAAAAGATCATCATCTATTGTCTAGGCACTTGTCTTATTGAAATAGGTACAAGATGTATAAGGTAAAGCATAGCTTAAAATATTATGGTATAGGTCATTCCTGATTTGTGGTAATCAGCAGTGGAGGAACCTTTTATAAAGTTTTGGAAGAGGATACCATAAATCCTCAAGCTATCTTAGAAGTTTTTTGTTAGGCATGGTAACAATATACAAAAACCAATATTTAAAATATCTGTAACCTGTTATCAGGATATTAATATATAATTCAATATATAAGTAAAATATATATTCACTTTTATTCTACAAATAAATTAAATATTTAGTATTATAAATTATAGCACAAATGGTTCACCATAACATTCTGATAATTTCCACATCTTATGTTGAGTTTTGGAATTATTGATATGGTCTTTTGTCTTGCTTAGTTTTTACCAGTTTTAATGAATTCCTGTTTGAGCTACAGTTTGACAAAATAAATTTCATGAAATGAGTACCTATTAAACTGATAGTCATTAAGTAACATGGAGTTGCAATAAGCATAGACTTTCTCTTAATATCAACAATATTGTTTATAGTGCTTAATCTTCTCTTGGTTTTTAAGAGCAGTTACTTTCAAACATATTTTCCAGTTCCTGTGATGCTATGAAATTTGAAATACCTCTTGGTCAACTGGGCCATAGTAGAAAGAGTGAGACAGTGTGGTGCTCTTTTGTTGGGCTGCCTATATTTGAATCCTAGCTCTGCCAACTAAATATAAGCTGGTAGGTAGTGTTGGGGTGGGGGAATTTTGAGGGGCTGACTAGTAGAAACCGACCAATCAGGAAGGATGCCGTAAGTAGTGTCTCAAGGGCCCCTTTTTATGCCAGGAAGTAACTCTTTATTTGTTGGATGATGGAAAGTTCTCAGGATTGGGTTTGGGCAGCAGCTAGTGTTCAACCACAGTGAAAGTACTTCAGTACTGCTACAACTAATATATCTGTACTGGCGCATACTGGCCCAGTATCAGCCTGAGCTGTATGTTGGGCAAGAGAAAGAGTGAAATTCAAAGACCAGATCTCTGACTAACCTGTCTCTATAACCCTATGTGTCACTTAGACTCCAAATATGTGACCATCGGACAAAGTTATATACCCTGTTATCTAGTTTCTACACTTCTTAATCTGATCACCTTGTGCTGTCTTTGTGCTGCCTGAAACATCCTGTCCTAGTATTACTTGACAATCATCTTAATTTAAAGGTTTAATCTAGGACTAGTTGATGTCACCCAGTTAGTGGTTTATTCAGAAGTAGGTCTTGTCAGTAGCATCTTTGGAAAACAAAGGATAAAAAATATTGCTGCACATTTGATTCTCCTAAAGTTGCTTTGCGGTGTTTATATAGCATCTCTTAGCTTGCCAAGGAATTTATTTTCCTATTTGATTTACCAGTTGTATTGGAAATTCACGAGTTTCCTAGAGCTACCATAACAAAGGACACAAACAAGGTAGCTTAAACAACGGATATTTATTGTCTCACAGTGCTGGAGGTTAGAAGTCCAAAATCGAGGTGTCAGCAAAGTTAGTTCCTTCTGAGGGCTGTGAAGAAAAATCTGTTTCAGGCCTGTTTCTAGTGGTTTTCTGGCAATCTTGTTGTGTTCCTTTGCTTGTAGATGTATCACTCCAATCTCTGGTTTTCATCTTCACATGGTGTTCTCTCTGTATCTCTTTACATAGTCTTCTGTGTGCATGTCTGCATTCAGATTTCCCCTTTCGCATCAGTCTCATGACTTCATCTTGACTGTATCTGTGAAGTCCCTATTTCCAAATGAGGCTACATTCTGAGGTATTGGGGGTTAGGACTTCAACATCTTTTTGAAGGGACACAGTTCAACCAGTACCACCAGTATTAAAATTTTGATTTTGTTTCAATGATAGAAATTTGAGGATATCTGCTGTATTGGGTTTTGTTATTGTTTGTTTTAAATATCTTAAATTTTTCTTAAAGTCTAAATCGAATTTTTTCTAAATGATATAATAAACACTGGAGACCAGTAATCATCTAGATTATTAGTCATTTTCTATGGATATATTTACTACTTTGTGAAAATATTTTAGCTTTTGAAATTTCAGTGTAATTAAAGGTTGATGTGATGAATGACAATTTGAAGTCTGAATGCTACAGATACTATTTTTATTCCCTTGTGGAAACCCTTCTGGTAATGCTTGTACAGCCTAGCCTTGGTATGTTCTTTTATTGTACTCTTTCCTTAGGCAATGATTAATTTCTTATTTCCAGAAAGCTTCCACAAGATAATGAGAACAGGATCTCACATATAGTATTATAATAATGTTCTCTTGTCACCAATTCTTCATTAGCTTTGTACATTTACTTTAGAACTTCCTTGAAATTCTTCAAGTTATGTTGTATTCACAGGTGTGATTTAAGATGTTTTTTTTAAAAAATCAAATGGACAGCTCTCTGTTTTTTTAAAATGAAAATCACTGGGAAAATACAAGGTGACATATAAATATTCCCTTTAGCCACTTTTAGTATACTAATAGTGTAAACATATTTGTGCAGGTTTTGACTGGATCATCTCGTCAAAGTTATTCACCTCCTGGCTATCAAGATTTCAATAAGTGGGAGTCAGTGCTGAAAATAAAAGAAGGACTACTAAGGCAGAAAGAAATTGTAATTGATCGGTGAGTCTTTTTTTTTTAATTACTAAATATTTCAGGCATGCAGAAATGCAGATTAATAAAACAAATATCTTTGTACCCACTGCTTAGAGTTTAAGAAATAGAACCTTACAAGTACACTGATGTCTCATGTCTGTCCATACCCAATCCCAGTACTTTTAAGAACCACTATCAGAACTGAGGGTCAGTTGGTTTATCTGCCTGTCTATCTATCTATCTATCTATCTATCTATCTGTGTCTGTTTTCTACCATCTTCCCATTTACATTAGGGTAACTCATTATTTGGAAACTCCTCTCCATCTTTTTTGTACATGTAACAAGTTAGCTGCAATGCTGATGAACTATCAAAACTAGTGTCTTTGTGTTTTATACTTGGGAACTATCAAATTGGAAAGGTACTTTAAAGTGGTAGCTTCCTTTAACTAATGTATGTTAGATCTGATAGCACAGAAAGCATGAAAATCATGAATGTTTCAAATTAAATGACCTACAGATAAGAATTTTGAAAATTTGGGGAGACATTTCCAAAATTCTGCCTATTTCAGTACCAAAGCTCTGAAAACAAATTTCTTTAAACTTAATAGTCTCCTGATTATTCTCAGCAAAAAACCTTAATATTACTTAATTATTTATGATCTATATTGGTTCTACATCATTTATGTATACTTTTGGGATAGTTAAACATGTTGCATATCATGGTAATTGGGAAATAGTTTGAGGAGGCATTTTTTCTTAATCAGTGCTAGTTACTACTTATTTTCATGTGCTTATATGGGATAAAGTAGTAGATATTTTAGCCTTAAAATTAAATCCTAATTCAAACCTTTAAATATATTTAATAGTTGAAATTTCAAAAGATTTTGCTTAGAAACTTAGCAGTGTTAAGCAAGATCTGCTGGGAAATAAACTAGAGCATAGACATCTGGGCTTCCTTATTCTCCACTATGTTCTCAACACCTTGAACAGAGCCTGGCATGTAGTACATGTACTTAGTGCTTGATACTTTCATGCTTGATAAATGAATGAAGATTGTGAGAGATAGTTATAATTGATTTTATGAAAAGGCTATTTTAAAATATTAGATACTTCTAGTACAAGTGAATTTTATGTATAAATAATTATAGACCCTGTTGGATATATATTTTGAACACAAATAATTTAACTCATTGTATAGACTTGAAATTAATACCGTTTTTAAACCCACCAAAATTCAGACTTTCATTAATATGAATAGACTTGCCCTCAATCAGAATCACTTGGCTTTTATTATTTTTTAAACACCATTATACCATTCTATTGGGTATAAGTTAGTAAGTGTCTTAGTTCATTTGGGCTGCTATAATAAAATACCATAGACTGGGTAGCTTATAGACAGCAATATTTATTTTTCCCACTTCTGGAGGCTGAGAAGTCCCAAGGCACCGGCAGATTCAATGTCTGGTGAGAGCCAACCTCCTGATTCATAGATGGCCGTCTTGCTGTAACCTCCCGTGATGAAAGGGGCAAGGGAGCTCTCTAGAGCTTCTTTTGTAATGGCACTAATTGCATTCATGAGGATTCTGTCCTCATGACCTAGTCACCTCCCAAAGGCCCTCTACCCACTATACCACACATTGGGCATTAGGAGTTAATGTGTGAATTTGGGGGGCAGGGGTGTATGTCACAACATTCAGTCTATGGCAGTAAGAAATGCAGATAATTATTGATGTAATATATTAAAATATATTTATATTTGTCAATTTTGTATATATAGAAGGATACTAAGGAAATAATCCAAAATCATTCAAGTTGCTCAGTTGGCCAATTCTGTTATTTAATTTAAAAAAATTTTTTTATTGAAGTATAGTAGATTTACAGTGTTGTGTTAGTTTCAGGTATGCAGCAAAGTGATTCAGTTATATATGTGTGTGTGTGTGTGTGTGTGTGTATATACTTTTTCAGATTCATTGTCCATATAGGTTATTATAAAATATTGAGTATAATTCTCTGTGCTACACAGTACGTTCTTGTTATCTATTTTATATATAGTAGTGTGTATATTTACTCCCAAGTTTCTAATTTATCCCTTTCCCCCATCTTTCCCCTTTGGTAGCCATAAGTTTGTTTTCTATGTCTGTGAGTCTGTTTCTGTTTTGTAAATAAGTTCATTTGTATTTTTTTTTAAGATTCCACATATAAGTGATATCATATGATATTTGTCTTTGTCTGATTTACTTCACTTCGTATAATAATCTCTAGGTCCATCCATGTTGCTGCAGATGTCATTATTTCATTCTTTTTTATGGCTGAGTAATATTCCGTGGTATATATGTACCACACCTTCTTTATCCATTCATCTGTTGATGGGCATTTAGGTTGTTTCTGTGTCTTGGCTGTTGTAAATAGTGCTGCAGTGAACATCGGGGTGCATGTGTCTTTTCAGGTTATGGTTTTCTCTGGATATATAACCAGGATAGGATTGCAGGATCATATGGTAGCTCTCTATTTTTTGTTTTTTAAGGAACCTTCATACTGTTCTCCATGGTGGCTGTACCAATTTACATGCCCACCAACAGTGTAGGAGGGTTCCCTTTTCTCCACACCCTTTCCAGCATTTATTATTTGTAGACTTTTTGATAGTGACCATTCTGACTGGTGTGAGGTGGTATCTCATTGTAGTTTTGATTTGCATTTCTCTAATGATTAGCAGCGTTGAGCATCTTTTCATGTATCTTTTGGCCATCTGTATGTCTTCTTTGGAGAATTGTCTATTTAGGTCTTCTGCCCATTTTGGGCCGATTCTTTATTTAGTCTCATTTATGGATCTATGGTAGCCACATTGTTACGTAGGAGTTGGCTGGCCTAGGCTAGCCTTACCTGGATGGTCTTTATGCTCCATGGGGGTCTGTCATCCTCCAGTATGCTAACCAGGGTTTGTTCATAGGGTGAAGTTCAAAGAGAAAATGAAGCACACACGTTCTCTTGGAGCTTAGGCTCAGAACTGGCACAAAGTTCCTATGGATAATCTCTGTACCCTTAGTTTAATTTCTCTGTGAACCTAAAACTTCTCTAAAAAATAAAGTCTGCTTAAAAAAAAAAATATCACTTCCACTATGTTCTTATTGGTCATAAGGCCAGGAGACTTCACCTGTGGACAGTAGGAACAGCAAAATCACATCATAAAGGAGTATAAGTAATACAGGGAAGGGAATACTTGTGGATGTTTTTGTAAACAACCTACCACACCCAGTGTCTTAAATAATCTTTGATATTTGACATGCTTATTATAAAGTTTTTGATGATTAATGCATTTGATATTATATAAAACAGAGGAAGAAAAAGTAGCAACTCCTATTTCTAAAGCAACATGACCAGAATTTAAAAGTAAAAATGTTCATATATAAAGATCTTTATAACACATATAGTGATGAAAATTAGAACAAAATTATAGTATATCTTTTTTCCAGGAACCAGATTAGACTAATGGCCTTTAAAATGGTGATAACACATGCAGAGACTATTTCAGAGACAGAATTGACAGGATTTAGTTTCTTCCTGGATGGAACTGAGAGTAAAGATGCTGAACTTTTCTACTTTGGAATACAGTGTGGGTGATGATACCTTTTAAGTCACTTAACTAAAAATTGTATGCTGGATATTATTCCTGAAAAATATCAAGTTATTCATGATTGCATGAGAAAAATGTGGGGGTTTTTTTTTGCAATGCATATAGCTTTCGTAGACTTTGGATAATTAGGTCAAAACAGATAAATGTTAAGGAAAAATAACTGCTATAGAAACTGTTCTGATGGTTACCAGTGGGGAAGGGTTGGGGGTGGGGAGGGATAGATTGGGAGTTTGGGATTGACATGTACACACTGCCATATTTAAAATAGATAACCAACAAGGACCTACTGTATAGCACAGGTAATTCTCCTCAGTATTCTGTAATAACCTAAATAGAAAAAGAATTTGAAAATGACTAAATACATGTATATGTAAAACTGAATCACTTTGCTGTACACCTGCAACTAACATAACATTGTTAATCAACTATATAAAGTAAACATTTTTTTTTAATTAAAAAGAAAAAGAAACTGTTCTTAAATGTTCCCCATCTTGTGAGAAAAAGCAAATACGTTAATTTCAAAAACTACTCAGAGAAAAAAGGAGGAAACCTGGTTTCTAATGCTTTATATTTGACACTAACCATTTAGGTAATTCTGAATAGGGTACTTGACCTTTTGCATATTGATCTTCTCATCTGCCTGGATACAAGGAGTTTCACCACTTAAGCAAAAAATGAGGTTTTTGAAGATCACTCTTCTAGGCAACTCTCCTCTCCCACCTAGTTGTACAGCATGAGGATGCAGTGAATAAATGTATGTAAAAAGCGCTAATACTGTCTGATGCATAGTGGCCATCAGCAAATAGTAGCCACATTATACATGTTTTGTATATGTAATAGTTATGTTTATGTGCTTGTCTTAGTCGACTTTGATCTCTTCACAGAAGAGACAGTTTCATGTACATTTTATTACTCATAGTAGGTACTCACTAAATATTCATGCAGAGGAAATAGCCTCATTTTAATGAAAAAGAGGTTAAGGTTGTTGGTTAACCTATGCTGTTGCTGATACTAGTAGTTCATATGATGGTTTACACTTAGAAATTGCATAGCTTGTGCCGCTGAATTGAACAGATAAGATATAGGGGTGAGTCAGTGCACTGGAGCCAGATTCAGAGAGGAAACCCTATACCCTCTGTGGTGACAGCTGAGTTAATGCTATTAGTAAATGATACTGGCAGTATAGAGAATTCTCATTTTGTCATTACTTGCAATTTACAATATAGTATCTACAAATCTTCTTAAGATCTTGTCCAATAATAGAGAATCTGACTAGCCATTGTTTCTGGTTCTTGGAAAGGAGACTGTAAATCTTTAGAATGTCTTTTTTATTCATGAGCCCTGGAACACACCTGCATTTATGCCAATGAGGTGATTCTTGGGCCCTGGATAGCAGCTTCAGCTATTTACCATAGAGACCAACCCTGTGATCAGAGGGTTGGGACTTTTGAGCCGGTCCAGCCTCCAGGGAGAGGAGGAGGCTGGAGATTGAGTTCAGTGATTTAATCAATCTTGCCCACACAATGAAATTCTATAATAAAAAGTCTGGGAACTCCCCAGATGTGTAGCCATTTGGTTAGAAGTGTGGATGGCCTGGGGATCCCACTTGAGTCTGGCATCTGAAGTGAGGCTTTCTTGTTGGGGATCATGCCCTTAAAGCTGTGGAGTCTGATGCTAACTTAAGGTGTTTAGTGTCAGAATCAAATTTCACACAGTGTAGCAGTTGGCCTTGAAACAAAATAGATTCAGAAATTGATTTTATAAGGCTATATACCTAGGTGTAAACAACCAAAATAGATAGAAACAAACTATTGAAACTGTATTTAAATACTCAGATAAGCTGATAAAAATAACCAAATCTTACTTCAACACTTGTGATGGAGAATAAATATGACTCTTGCATTATGGGGTCCATCTCAAAGTAAAAGATGTTCTGCAAATTGCCATGAGCAAACTGTCATATGTTAATTGATCATATCTGTGAAGTTGGAATTTTAATAACTTTTAATAACCATGATATGTACACTTAGGCCTTGCTTTAGAAATATGATAAGTCCTAGCTTCTAAAGCAGATGAGTTTAGAAGGACACTTAAAATGAATTCCATTAAAAAAAAATCCACACTATACCAAAGAATCCACCACTGATTTTAAAAGTTTACCTAGCAAAATTATAATGTGATTTTACTTCCACATGTAATTAAATGAGAGACATATGCATTGCTGAAGGCTCAAATGGCAGTCAGCATTTTTTAGTAATAAAATATTTTTAAATTAAGGTATGGACATTTTTTTTAGACATACTATTTCACAATAGATTACAGTATAATGTAAATATAACTTTTATATGCACTGGGAAACCAAAAAATTCATGTGACTGGCTTTCTTGCAATATTCAGTTTATTGCTGTGGTCTGGAACCAAACCTGCAATATCTCCAAGGTCTGCCTTTAAATGTAAAAGCATCCTTTTAATATACTTTGGGAGTATTTTCAGGCTATACTCCCTTAACGCATTTACCGTTCTTCCTCTGACTACTCTTAGGAAATTCTCTTTATCACTGATTTTAAGTCATTTGATTAGGATGTTCCTTGGTTTAGTTTTCTTTTTGTTATTTGTGCTTTGGGTTCTTTGGTCTTCTTGAATCTGTGGGTGTGTCATTCTCAGCAGATTTGGAAAAAATTTGGCCAGTTTTCTACAAATACTTTTTCTTGCTCATTCCTCCTCCCCTCACCTCCCCTATAGGGATTCTAATTACACATATATTTGGCCTTTTAAAGAAATCCACAGCTCATTGATTCTCTGAGTTTTTGTTTTGTTTGTTTTGTTTCATTTATTTGTCTTTTTTTTCTGTTTCTTTTTGGATCATTTCTATTGATATGTCTTCAAATTCCCTAATCTTTTCTTCTGCAAATTCTAATCTGTCCTAATCCCATACAGGATAATATTTATGTCTTCCATGTCTCTGCTTAACGTATTATGTCTTTCTTCTAGTTTCTTGAACATATGAAAATAGTTACAATAATTGATTTAGTGTCCTTCACTATTAATTCTGTCATTTGTGTCAGTTCTAGCTCACTTGCAGTTGATTGGCTGTTCACCTTATTGTGGGTCATATTTTCTTGCTTCTTTGAGATGCCAGGCATTATGAATTTTAACTTGTTTTGGATGTTACATATTTTTGTATTCTTTTTTTAAAAATTTATTTATTTTTATTTTTGGCTGCGTTGGGTCTTGTTGCTGCATGCAGGCTTTCTCTAGTTGCAGCGAGAGGGGGTTACTCTTTGTTGCAGTGCACGGGCTTCTCATTGCGGTGGCTTCTCTTGTTGTGGAGCATGGGCTCTAGGTGTGTGGGCTTCAGTAGTTGCGGCACTTGGGCTCGGTGGTTGTGGCGTGCGGGCTGTAGAGCGCAGGCTCTGTAGTTGTGGCGCACGGGCTTAGTTGCTCCGCGGCTTGTGGGATCTTGCCGGACCAGGGCTCGAACCCGTGTCCCCTGCATTGGCAGACAGATTCTTAACCACAGTGCCACCAGGGAAGCCGTTATTTTTGTATTCTTGCACTTTGTTCTGAGCCCCAAATTGCCCTCAGTTGGAAATTGCTGCTGATACCCTGTAAATTATGAAGTTTTGGCACTTGGGAACAGGCACAATTCCAGGCCCCATGTGAGCCTCAGGCACTGTTTCTTCTAATCTTTTTGGCTAACATATCCCCCCACCCCCACCCCACAACGCCCCCTCCCCACTTAAAGTAGTTTCTTCACACATTCGTTAGTTAACACTCAACTGAATACTCAAGGGTGGCTCTGCACTGTGAACTCTAGCTGCCTTGGTTTCTCCAGATTACCAGCTTTGTTTTTTCAACTCAGAGAGGTCACTTTCCCTGTTCAGAGGCTAAGGCTTAAAACGGTAATCTCTGGCAATCTTAGGACTCACATAATTTGTTGTCCACCTCCCAGAAGTCACGGTGACTAATTGCCTGTTGTCCAGTGTCTTGAGAGTCTTTCTTACCTGTATTTTGTTTCATTTTGTAATTATGTCAAGGGGAAGGGCAAAACTGGTTCCTGTTACTCCATCTTGGCTGGAAGAGGAAGTTTAGTTTTCTTTGTAAAGTTTTACATTATTTGAAAAGTACCATGTGACTAATCTCTCCTAACTTATCTGTTTCCTGTTTGATGTTTTCTGTGTGGATGTTCTTAAAGGATAGCATATCTGAAAAACAAATAAAAACAGCTCTGAATAGAATAAGCTCTTTGATGTAGTCTGAACTTGCTCCAAAAGTTATTTTGTAAGTAATTTTGGAAAACATCAAGCTATTTGTTTACCCACATGTATCCTTATTATTCCTTGAAAGCACGTGCTCTTGCTCTTTTGCTCTCACTCTCTCTCTCACAACCTTAGTATGAGACTTGTTATTCAATTTTTGAAGATTAATGATAATACATATAAAGGTCTTAGCATGTTGCCTGGCACATAATGGTTTTCAAATGTTTAAGGCTACATATTCACAAAGTTAAATAATTTGATTAAAATAAGCTATGATCCACTGAGGAAATACTTGAATTTCAGTGTGTCTGGTTCCAGCATGAGGTTATATTAAAATGAAATTTCAGAGCTATCCAGAGATGCAAATCTGGCACCATGTGAGTTCTCCATCGTTGGAGATGTTTATGTGTAGACAATGCAACCTGGATGTTGTAGATAAGATGCAGGCATAGTACAGCAGTTGAGCTAGATGATATTTATAAAAATACCTCTCACCCCGACAATGAAATTTTCAGAAGCTTCAATTGGTATTAAGTGTTGAACAGAATTTGGACGAATGGAAATAATAATATTAAGGTAAAGACATTCCAGACTGAGATTGAAACAGTTTTTATGTTAGGCAACAAGAAGAAAGAGAGCAAAGCATGACTTTGTTAGAATCTAAGAAGAGTATTCTACAAAAGATTATGTTCTTTAAAGTGTCAGAAGTACTCTACAGTATAAACTTTTTCTGTATTTAACATATCTCATGGTACTGTGGTTTAAAAAGATTTCCTATTATGAATTTTAAGATTGATACTTTTAACTCTTATGCCAAATTAGAATACTGAAAGTTCTGCTTTTAATTATCACTTAGAAAAGTATATTTTTTGTAATGTGGTACCTCAACTTATGTTTTGCAGGCAGAAGCAACAAATCACCCACCTGCATGAAAGAATAAGGGATAATGAATTACGAGCACAACATGCCATGTTAGGACATTACGTAAATTGTGAGGATTCTTATGTGGCTAGTTTGCAGGTAAGATTATAAAGGATTTTGTAGTTGATTTATTAGTAAAACATGTAAATTATATACTAAGCTTGAAAGATTAGGACGTTTTTTGGAGTTAATAATCTGTTCACATGGTTCATATTTATATGTGTAGTGAAAGATGTCCAAGTGCTGTTTTCCATCTGTCCAGTTCACACCCTTTCCCCACACAAACAGGAGCTACTATTAACAGTTTCTAGTGTAGCCTTCCAGAGTTGACTTATATCACAACAAACACATATAAATGTATTTTATCCTCCTACCTTCACAAAAAGTATCAAAATAAATACAGTATTCAACACCTTGCTTCTTTCCCTTAATATTATATAAAATTATATAAAATAGTGGTTATTTTCATATCATTACATAGGCAGCATCCCTTTCCTTTGCTTTTACAGCTGCTTGATTTCCCATTTTATGGAGACAGCATAATTTATTCAACCTGTCTCTACTTGTCAAAATTTGGGTTGTTTCTAGTTTGGGACTATTATACATAATCTTATAAAAGTGAAACGCTGTACTCATTAAACAATAACTCACCATTTCACTTCCCGACCCCTGGCAACTACCATTCTACTTCATGTCTCTATAATTTTTATTACTCCAGGTATCTCATGTTAAGTGGAATTATACAGTATTTGTCTTTTTTGTGACTAGCATATTTCACTTAGCATAATATCCTCAAGGTTCATCCATGTTGTAGCATGTGTCAGAATTTCCTTCCTTTTTAAGGCTGAATAATATCCCATTTTATGTATACTATACCGCATGTGTCAGAATTTCCTTCCTTTTTAAGGCTGAATAATATCCCATTTTATGTATACCACATTTTGCTTTTCCCCTCATCTTTCAATGGACACTTGGGCTGAAGCCACATTTTAGCTATAGTGAATAATGCTGCTATGAACATTTTTTATATTATTTATTTGAACATGGGTGTACAAATATCTCTTTGAGACCCTGCTTTCATTTCTTTTGAGTATATACCCAGAAATGGAATTGCTGGATCATATGGTAATTCTGTTTAAATTTTTGAGGAACTGCCACACCGTTTTACCACAGTGGAGGTACCATTTTGCATTCCCACCAATAGTGTAGAAGTGTTCTACTTTCTCCACATTGTCACCACCACTTGTTATTTTCTGGTTTTTGATAGTAACCATCCTGATGATATCTCATTGTAATTTTGATTTGCATTTTCCTAATGATTAATGATGTTGAGCATCTTCATGTACTTATTGGCTACTTCTCTATCTTCTTTGGAGAAAGGTCTATTCAAGTCCTTTGCCCATTTTTAAATTGGACTTTTTGGTTTTTTCTTTATTGAGTTTTAGAGATTCTCTATTCTGGATATTAATCCTTTGTCAGATATATGATTTGCAAATATTTTTTCTCATTCTGTGGGTTGCCTTCTTATTCTGTTGATAGTCCTTTGTGTCTTTTCATGCACGAGATTTTTAAATTTTCATGAAGTCCGATTTGTCTACTTTTCTTTTATTGCCTGTGTCTTTGGTGTCGTAACCAAGAAATCATTACCAAATCCAGTGTCATGAAGCTTTTGCCACATGTTTTCTTCTAAGAGTTTTATAGTTTTAGGTCTTACATTTAGGTCTTAGATCCCTTACAAGTTAATTCTTGTATATGGTGTTAGGTAAGGGTCCAACTTCATTCTTTTTGCATGTGGATATCCAGTTTTCCCAGCATCATTTGTTGAAAAGACAATCTTTTCCCCATTGAATTGTCTTGGTACCTTGTCAAAAGTCATTTGACCATATATGTGAGGGTTTATTTCTGGGTTCTCTATTCTGTTCCATTGGTCTATATATGTCTCTCCTTATGCCAATACCACACTGTTTTGATTACTGTAGCTTTGTAGACAGTTTTGAAATCACAGAGTGTAAGTCCTCCTCTGTCCCCCTTTTTCAAGATTGTTTTGGTTATTTGTAATCCCTTGAGATTCTATATGAATGTTAGGGTGGGTTTTTCTATTTATGCGAAAAGTATGTTATTGGGATTTTGATAGGGATTGCATTTGAATCTGTAGATCACTTTGAGTAGTATTGACATCTTAACAATATTAAGTTTTTCAGTCCATGATCATGGGATATATTTCCATTTATTTGTGTCATCTTCAGTTTCTTTCAGCAGTGTTTTTTAGTTTTCATTGTACAATTCTTTTACTTCTTCGGCTAAGTTACATCTTAAGTATTTTATTCTTCTTGATACTATTGTAGATGGAATTGTTTTCATAATTTCCTCTTCAGATCATTTATTATTAGTGTGTGTAGAGATGCAATTAAATTTTCTGTATTAACTTTGTATTCTGATACTTTGCTGAATCCATTCTTTTTTTTTTTTTCTTTTTAATTTCTCCAGCTCAAACCCAGGAGGGTGGAGATACATTTTAAAAAAAATATATTTATTTAGTTACTTATTTGGTTGCACTGGGTCTTAGTTGTGGCAGGCGGGCTCCTTAGTTGTGGCATGTAAACTCTTAGTTGCAGCATGCACGTGGGATCTAGTTCCCTGACCAAGGATCAAACCCAGCATGCCTGTGTTGGGAGCATGGAGTCTTATCCACTGCGCCACCAGGGAAGTCCCTGAATCCATTCTTTATTGCTAAAGAATGTATATGATCATATCATCTGTGAACAGTGATAATTTTACATCTTCCTTTTCAATTTGGATGCCTTTAATTTCTTTTTCTTGCCTAATTGCTCTGGCTAGAACTTCCAGTACTCTGTTCAATAGAAGTGTTGTAAGTGGGAATCCTTTTTCCTGATCTTAGAGGAGATGCTTTCAGTCCTTCACCATTGAGTATGATGTTCGCTGTGGGTTTTTTCTATATAGCTTTTATTATGTTGAGTAGTTTTCTTCTTTTCCTAGCTTTTTGTGTGTTTTTATCATAAAAGTGTGTCACATTTTGCTACATGCTCTTTTCAGCCTCAGTTGAGATGATTGTTTTTCTTTTTTTGCTGTTTTTGTGCTGTATAATAGCATTGATTGATTTTTTTTTTTTTTGGCGGTACATGGGCCTCTCACTGCTGTGGCCTCTCCTGTTGTGGAGCACAGGCTCCGGGCTCACAGGCTCAGCGGCCATGGCCCACAGGCCCAGCCGCTCCGCGGCATGTGGGATCCTCCCGGACCGGGTCACGAACCCGTGTCCCCTGCATCGGCAGGTGGACTCTCAACCACTGTGCCACCAGGGAAGCCTGCATTCATTGAGTTTTGAATGTTAAACCACCCTTACATTCCAGGAATAAATCCCACCTAATCATGGAGTATAAGCTAAATTCAGTTTGCTAATATTTTGTTGAGGATTTTTATACCAGTGTTTAAAAGGGTTGTTGGTCTGTAGTTTTCGTCTAGTGTCTTCATCTGGCTTTGGTATCAGAACAATGCTGACCTCAGAATGGGTTAGCAAGTGTTCCATCCTCTTCCAGTCTTTAGAAAAGTTTGAGAAAGATAGATACTAGTTCTTCTTTAAATGTTTGGTAGAATTTGCCAGTGAAGCCATCAGGTTCAGGGCTAGGGCTTTTGTTTGTTTGGAGATTTTTGATTACTGATTCAATCTCCTTAGTAGTTGTAGGTCTACTCAGATTTTCTACTTCTTCATGATTTAGTGTTAGTAGGTTTTGCTTCTAGGAATTCGCCATTTCATCTAGTTTTTCCAATTTGTTGAACAGTTAATTCTTTATACTACTCTTTTATAATCCTTTTTTTGATAGAATTGATATTGTCTCCATTTAAATTTCTGATTTTAGTAATTTGAGTCTTCTTTTTTTCTTAGGCCATCTAGCAAAAGTTTTGTTAATTTTGTTCTTTTCAAAGAACCAACTTTTGGTTTCATTTATTTTCTCTATTATTTTTCTATTCTTTATTTCATTTATCTCTGCTCTGATCTTTATTTTCTTCCTTCTGATAGCTTTGGATTTATTTTTTTCTTCTTTTTTCAGTTCCTTATGTTGTAAAGTTATGTTGTTGATTTGAGATCTTTTTCTTGTTTTCTCCATATGGATTTAATATATATTTCTCCTAAGACTGACGTTGAACTTCTTTTTATATGTTTAAGACCCGTTCATGTTTCTTTTTCTGTGAATTGCTTTTTCGTATTTTTTGCTTATTTTTTCTATATTGGTTTTTTTGCTTATGGATTTTATGAACCCTTTAATGGAAAAAAGTTAATTTCTTTTACATATAATTTGATTTGGAAATGCATTTTCTGAATTGTCATAATATTTTCATTCTATTTATATCATTTTCTCATTTTTTTCCTTTATCTATTTTTTTCTACCATGAAGTCTCTCTAATTCTGATGAGTATTTTATAAATAAACCATTTTAGAAATGAACCCATTAAACAAACAATTATTAAACATCCACTGTGCTAAATTCTGAGGTCACAAAAGTGAAAAATAGTTCCTGCCTTCATGAATCTCAGACTATAAAGGGAGAGACCATATAGGTAAATGCATTTACCCAATCCTTTAGAATTTATTATGATTCCTATAGATTAGGCATTGTCTAGGTGCTAGGAATAGAAATGTGAACGAGATTGGTTTTGTCCTTGAGAGTACAGTCTAATGGGAACACAGACATAGAGTCTATGACGCCTCATAACAAAATGTATATGGCCAGAAGGACTACTTTCTGTTTTTAAGAATTGTCCTTAATATTTGTTTTTATATATTTCTATGTAAACTTTATAATTGACTTGTTTATTTACAAAAAGAAGAAAAACTATTAGCAAATTACTTAATGGTGGTATGTACTTCTGTTTGGTCACTTTCATTAACATCTTTATTCCTAGAATTTAAAAAAATCAATTTAAGTGGATTTTTTCCCCCCATTATATTTTCAAACTTGTAGTTTTATTGAAGGCATTGTTATATTAAAATCAGGACATATTAAAGACCAAATAACTATCAGACTTATTTGAGGCAGAGGCACTTAACAGAGATTCCAGCTTGTTTATCATACTTCAGTTAC